AAAGAAAAAAGGACATATACTGGTTGTACTCTATCGGTCGTGAAACAAAAAGAGATGACCTAAATGTGTTATAATTATAGAAAATTAGGACTGATTTATTGTTCACTCAAGTACAGTTACTAACATGTAAATCACCAGCAATATAATCAGGCTGTCAAACGTAAAGCTAACAATCCATTCCTTATTAGTTGATGTTCAATTCCCCAAACATTTAGACCACATCAAAGATTCAATTTATAACTAGGGGGAGACCTGCACTGTAAGTAGTTTAACAGAGTGGTCACTCTGAATAAATACTTTGGAAAGCTTATTAAATATTTTTGTGGCCACTAAAAGTTATTACATGGGTTAGATGAGCATTGGTGCATGGGGTAAGTCTCTGCAGTTACCATATGCTAATTTTTGTAATTTAATTGTACAGTTGACCTCCCGTAAGCGACCACATACAGTAGGCTTGGCATTTTGGGTGGTCACTTACAGGAGGTTTGTCTGTGCTTGTATTAAATTCCAAAAATAGCTTATAAAACACCTCATGTTCATCAGAGTTCTTGTCTAACTTTTCTTTGTGCTACATGTAAATGTAACATTTAATACCCTAATATAATTTTGTACATCCAGGCTTGTCAAATGTTACATTTTGAGTCACCCATTGCCTTGGTCCCCACACCCGTAAAAAACCCGAAAGAATGAGGGCTCATCAAGGATAATCGGCCCTTAATGGCAGCACTGACATCTGTCTTATATTATCACTTGGACATATTTGTCCTATAGACATAATACAGGTTAATGTGGACCTTAAGTTGTTTTCAATTGTCTTTAAGTGAAATCACGTTCATCTAAAGGGCCGCAGAACCATAGTCCAGTCCTGACACCATCAGGAGAGATGGATACAAATGAAGCATCAAAGAAAGGGGTAAGATCAAGTATCCTAGAAGATTAGAGACTAACAATAGGCTTTTTATGCTTAGTCAAAGAAAACTCTCATTCAGTAGTTTGTATCTTATGTGGCTGCAACAAGTGACCCAAGCTATCTACCGGTAAGTTATCTATAACATTCCGACTACCAAGGGACATACACCTGTAACTCGAGCTTATGACCAGAGCGGTATTGTACTCCGAAGATTCAATTTTCAACGGCTTTTTATGAGAGTGCAACTGTTTTGCAATTTGCAACACATCATCATCAAAAGCAGGGCTCACGAAAAGTGCCATACAATCATCTGGGACGAGTAGCAAGGTTTTGTTTTTTTTTCATGTCCACTTGCCTGATGGACAGAGGTGTAGAAAAGTCATTTGCCAATCTTGACGTAATAAGAAAGTGAAACAAAACCAAGCATGCTCTTGCCCTGGGCAAAGCAAAATTTGAGCGAGTAATGTGTGAAAGGCAAGCTCAAATTCAATTTTTTTTTCAAGGTGTTGTATTTTACTGGGTATAAATTTGATCTAAACTGTTGCAGCTGTTTTGTATTTTAAATTCTGTCTTTGCTACATGTAGGTCCTCATCCATAAGACCTTCACATTCATTTATTTTTCATGTGGTTGTCATAAGCATGAGTCATGTCAAACTGATCTCATTACTTTCATTTGGTTCTTGTCGTGAATGGTCTGATGTTCCTGGGGTCTTNTTGTTTTGTATTTTAAATTCTGTCTTATCTAGGTCCTCATCCATAAGACCTTCACATTCATTTATTTTTGATGTGGTTGTCATAAGCATGAGTCATGTCAAACTGATCACATTACTTTCATTTGGTTCTTGTCGTGAATGGTCTGATGTTCCTGGGGTCTTAACCTTAAGTACATGTAGACACATGTAGTTGAAGAGTGCTGGGCCTTCACCACTAGGAGGCCTAACCTTCAAAGGATTTTAAATGCAAATGTTTGTATGGACTATGGTTGAAGCAAATTGACTTAGATTTTTTATTTATTTTTCAGCTTGCAGAAATTGCACAGGGGGTATGGTGCTGTGCAGTGAAAGTTAAGGCACTGATTAATTCTGTGCCTTCACGGACAGCACTTGCCTGTTCCATGTTATACATTTTTTATCCAAAAGACATCCTCACGGGAAAACGTCTAAAGGACTTGGACCCAAGGGTTGTTGATGCAATTGCAGGTAACATAGTAAATTAAGATAAATGTAAATAACAAATGAGATTTAAATTTCGTAAAATTTCTTGATGAGCAATTACTGTTAGTAGTATTACTTGCACATGTTCTGATCAGTATTTGTTGTATAGACTAGAACAGTTGTTTATGCTAGTTAGAGATTTGTCTTGACTTCTTTTTTTTTTTAAGATTTTGCTGTGGTTGCAAGAATAAAAGAAAGAGTCAATAAAAAAGAAACAGAAAATAATGGCAACTCAAAAGAGCCGAAAAATGTAACCCGTGGGGATGTCATGCAAGCCATGCGTCAAAAATGTAATCAGTTGATATTTCAAACTAAGAGGCCGACTTACCACAAAGGTAAGATTACTGAAAAGTTTTTTAAATGCTATGTTGAGTTTATGTCAATAAAGAAATAGCTGTTACCAAGTTGCAATATGTGGGTTACATTACAGACATAGCATACATGTACAATTGTGAGGAACCTTTATTTAACCTTAAAATGGGTGATATNTAAATTCTCTTTGCTTGCGCTATCATTACGTCAACAGCTTGTGCTACATGTAGTTCCGTGTTTCTATCGAGTTATGGAAACACGATTTTTAACCAGTCAGCGTGCGTATTTTCTTAGGACTGTTTTCTAATCAGCCTTAAAAGGAGTCATATGGAAGGTGTTTTATACGAATGGGCCCTTAGCCTCACTTGCTGGATATAAAAATACATTCATGAACGAATGTTTTGTCATTGATACTGTTCCTGAAACTCTTTCCTTGTTTTCATTCTTATAGAAAAGTATGTGGAAGCCAAGAAGGCCCGCTTGGAACTTGGAGAACATGCAGTAAATCAATAGGCCATATTTAGATTCATAAGTTACTATATCTCCTCCACTAAAGGGATACTCCCACCCCTCTGGAAAATGTAATTAATATACTACAGCTTCATACATATACATCTATTTAGTTTTTGGCCATTGAGAATTCTACCCCTCCCTCCCTCCCAGTACTTACCAATCCTGTCAGCAGGGGAAGGATGGAGATTTAATGGAACTACACAGTGGTTTTTTGAGCACCATCTTCTGTTAAGTACAGTGCGACTACTCCAACCATGCGACTTGGAAAAGAGTTAATCAAGCAGAACACTACCTCAGAACACACGATAGTGAGCTTCCGAAAAAAAAAAACGAATGTTGAAGAATACAGCAATAGTTATTAAGAAAATTGAAAACCTAACAGAACGTTGCGGACGTGTCAGGAAACTTAGCCATTTGTTGATTGGTTAGTCTCAATCCTAAATTTGTGACACAGTTTCAGTTAAGCTGTTGTCAAATGAGTTTTCAAGCTAATATTTTTCAGCCAGTCGATTTATCAGTTTGATAATTCGAAATCAAAGTCTGAATCTCTAAGTGTGCATAGTGTTTTCCCGTCAAATGAACTGTTACTTGCTGTCACAAGAAGCAGCCAGTTTATTGTTCTTACTTTACGTTTTGATTGTTTAGCTATCTTCTAGGTGGCCCGGTTTGAGTAGTCGCACTGTAAACACTCTTCATTAGTAAATCTAACTGATTTGACGGTCCCCTATACATGTACTTGTCTTTTGAAACTTTATTACAGCTATTTTCTCCGTTTATTTATGATTTACTTTCTAGTTGTTCAGGATTCCAAGCTAGAATATCTTTTTAAATACACATGCACACAAATTTNACCCGCTACTGAGAGAAATCTTTAAGGAGCCCCCCATCATCTCGTATCGCAAGGGAAAGTCCCTAAAAGATATCCTAATTAAAGCTAAGCTATGAAGGCTTTATAACTTATTCATCCGCGAACGGCAGGAGTCGTGCAGGCTTGTCAACACTTTTATCACTCAGTCTGAATCTTTAAGTGTGCATAGTGTTTTCCCGTAGAACAAACTGTTACTTGCTGTCACAAGAAGCAGCCAGTTTATTGTTCTTACTTTACGTTTTGATTGTTAGCTATCTTCGAGGTGGCCCGGTTTGAGTGGTCGCACTGTAAACAATTGCCAACCATAAACCAGCAGATAGTACTTATCTGATTGGCTGCTCATATTGGAGTTACAATCTGCTTTTAGCTTCCCACCATTTTTCTGTTGTTCTGATTTAATATAAACTGTAATACTACTCGCAACGATTTGAGTGGTGACCTCTTATGACTCAACGCTTTCCACTCTGGTGTGTACAAAAAATATTTTCTTTGGAAATCAGCTATTTTAAGATTTGTTTTATATCTGACATTTTTAAAACACAAAATAAAATGACATTGAAATTTTAATGAAAATATTTCCTGCATACATCCAAGCTGTGAATAATTACTGAACTTGTCTATTTTTTCCATGTTAGAACCAATAACTGCCATTACAGTCCTCAGCAAGGCAATTTGTCATTCTGCATTGTTTTAATTGATTAGTTGACCGTTTCGCATTAGTCCATAGTATAACAACAATTGTTTTTTTATCACCGACTCAACTGTTATTACGGCTTTTTGTATATACAAGTAAGAGTAGACCCATACAAGCAAAGAAAGCTACAACAAAGTTCACAGCTACAACAAAGTAATGTTTAGGGTTTTTTTAGCACTATTTAAATTATGCTATTTTAATACTACTTTTGACCTAATTTCAGATTAGTTTTATGCAATTTTAATACTACTTTAATGCTATTTTTACTGTATTTTCATACTGCTTTTATCCTATTTTGTGCTATTTTTATGCTGTTTCATGATATATTAGTGTATGCCATTACTAGACTATTTTAAAGCTATTTTCGTATGTTTAGAATGTATTTGATATTTATGTTTTTCTATGTGGCCCACTGTAATTTTAAAACTGTTTAAAGTGCTATTGAAATATATTTTGAGACAGCAGATTTCAATAGTGTTTTAAACAGGTTTTAACACCTTTAAAATCAGTCGAAAAATATGTTAAAAATATAATTTTGCACCTATTTTAAACTTATTTTGTACAAAATACTTTTAAAATTGTCATTTAAACTAGTTCAAAAATAGTCTTGCAGATAAAAAGCTGTTTTTAAAACGATTTGTGTCCTGTTTTTATTCCGAATGCTGTGTTCTTCGAGAGATTTTTAAAGTAGTTACAGACTATTTTAATTATATTTTTAAACTTAGCAAAGGATTTCGAGTTTTGGAATTTTAACTATATTTTTAAAACCTTTCCAAAATACATTTCAAATTTTGTTTCAATAGTGTTTTAAACAGGTTTAAACACCATCAAAAGCAGTCGAAAACTACGTTAAAATACACCTTTCGCCCTGTTTTTAATCTATTTCATAAAATAGGTTAAAAACAGTTTTCAAAAATAGTATTTAAATACATTTAACATAGTGTTTGGTTTGGTAAGGGCGGACCTCCCATCTGTAAGGACGAACATGTAAAGTGTAGGTTCTGGACCACATCTTGCTCTTGGCACAGTTATGTCAAAGCTGTCTGCAAGAAAACCTGCAATCTTTGTTGGATACATGAAGGTGCGTTCTCAACAAACAAAACATACAAACGAACAAACTTATACTACTTGTAGCCGATGTGGGAGAAAATAGCATAGAGTAAACTCAAGATCTTGTCCGGTTCTTTAAGAGNAGTTACAGACTATTTTAATTATATTTTTTATTTTAGCAAAGGATTTCAAGTTTTGGAATTTTAACTATATTTTTAAAAGCTTTTCAAAATATATTTCAAATTTTGTTTCAATAGTGTTTTAAACAGGTTTAAACACCATTAAAAGCAGTCGAAAACTACGTTAAAAATACACTTTTCGCCCTGTTTTTAATCTATTTCATAAAATAGGTTAAAAACAGTTTTTAAAAATAGTATTTAAATACATTTAAAATAGTGTTTTGGTTTAGTATATATACAATTAACGAACCGTCGCGAAAACGCTCTGGTAGAGATTTCTATTGCAATTCCCATTTTATGCCCCAACTCCCAAATATCTCTCAATTCCATTGTTTACCAACCAATCGGCTGTTGGCAGATAGCTTTTGAGTGTGTCCAGAATAAGTTCTTCACCCCGACTAATAAATACGATTATTAAGAATAAATTTAGCATTTTCTGCGTCACGCCGTTACACGCCAAAACGTAAAACTATCCTTTAAATTTCTGCAGTTTTGTTGTTGACAATATGTAATAAACAATAAAGTTCCAAAACTAGCAAGTCTAGTCACGATATATTTGGGTTTTTTAGCAGCTTCTCCTTGCCGATTCCTACTTGCGTACCTTCACATGAATTTAGAACACAATCCCCTCTCAGTAAGTTTAGTATTTCTGTAGTTTCACTCACTTCCGTGACACTTCAAACGGGTCAATAAAGTGGTTGGATAACTAAATGATGGAAAAGGGACTTTTCCCTTTCAAGGCTTTCAAGACAATGGTATCTTTCGTCGATTAGCTTTTCTTAGAGCGAAGAAACATTCTAAACACGTCGCTACTTTTTGGTAAATACTTGAAATAAAATATACGCAGGATGAATATTAAGAATAAAAAATTTAAATATGTGATGCATTATAAATTCAGGGTCTTTCCCTCTGAACAAAGTCTATCATGACTAGGAAACAATCAAATCATTGAACCAAGCATGACATTCACCCTCGGGATGTGACAGACAGTAATCAATATCAACTTCATAAGTGTTTTCATGGCGAAGTTCGGGGGTCGCTCTCGTTCATGCTCTTACTTAACTATAAGTTGCCCTCGCCAACGTAGCACCAACGGAAAGGGCTTATATTAATCTATGAAGAACGTAAATGTGAAATCTTAGGGACCTCCATACTGATGCAAGTCGATCTCAAATGGAAAACTTCGTCGATCGTACCCCTTATCATGAATCGAACAACAATACGACCAGTATGGCTTGGAAGATCTTAGAAATCTGACAAGGTAAGATTAGTAATATTCTTCTGGTACGTGAGGTATATAGATGGTACATGAACAGATTGTAAGAGCGTCCGGCGACTATGCAGCAGGGCAAAAATTCGACTTCTGCTTAGAGAACCCGGAATGTTGTTTCCGAGAAGCTTATCTACAGACTGAAAAAAATATCATTCTCATATTACTATATACCGAGATTAATATCAGTTTACCGCACCCAACAATGTCAAGACAAGTACACCGTCAAGAGGGAAGCGGGTGAGGACAAAGAAATTCGTGAACAGGGTGATATTGTCTTGATGTGAAAGAAACATTGTGACTTAAGTTGTTAATTAGTATTCTGGAAATTTCCATTTCAAGTTAGCAACGTTGCAAATCATCCAAACAAAGCAGGCTATCATGTGTGTCGAGTTTCATTTTCATAATACTGCTTTACCTTGTGTCGTTTATTCGCTCTTTAAGAAAAAACCCTTGTTTGTTGCAGTAATAAAATTAGAGGAAGAGTGATTTTGTAGCTTTATAAAGGACATCCTGTAAATTGTCATTGTAATAAACAACAGTGAGGCGCTTCCATGGAATTGCAGTCACTACCAGCGACATGACATGATCAGGCGCGTTCCGTAAAGGACTTTTCAGCAAACCTGATGGGAAACATGTCCAATGCAAGAAATATGCAAGGTGATAACAGAAAAGAAATAATTTATCTTCGAAAGCAAACATTACATTAATTCCAAACTTTTCAGGAGACAAAATACTCGCCTCTGTTGTTATAGGGAGGGGGTGAGGGTAAAATAAACACTTGGCTTGAAGGTGAATTTTCATTTCAACAGACTTATTCCCTATTGTTTATTTCTTCTTTAAGAGCCGTTTCATTTTACATTCTGGGCAAGAGAAACAGATTCAGAAAGCTTTTTCGCGACGTGACACAAAGAGAAACTGTCCGAATATGACAACCAAACACAAACAACCCAAAACTCCACACTCAGCAACTGCGACAGATTCAGTTCCCAACGAGACTGGAGCAACAGGTCACCAATCTGCTGTTTTTGACCAGATATCATTCAGTATTCCTGAGAATGACCTCAACTCAACAACCGCACAAGCAAGAATAGACACGAATACTAAAACAATGGACTTGACCCTTTACAACTGCAACTTTGTTGTTTTTGGCCAATCTAGCACTGTACATCATTCTGATTGTCACTTGCTTCGAAAAAGTCAAGAAGAAGCCGATCCGAGGCGAGCAGATTGCCACGTTGAACAAATACGACCAATGGAAGTAGAAGAGAGCAGTATAGTGCAGTGTTTCAGTAGAACAGGTGTTTCTGGGGAGGAAAGTCAGCACAAACCAAACACCTCCTCCGGTGAAATTTTACTGGATGTTGAGCCATCACTACCTGTGATAAAAAAGCAAGGTTTCCTTAACGGACTGCAATGTGAGGAAATCCTCAGAAACCTGGAACTTTTACAGGACAATGGAAAGTTTGAGCACCACAAGCGCCTCTTTAATTTCTGTCTTGAACAATGCGTAGAAAAAGGCAATAAAGACATGGAAGTAACAGCCAATGAAAAACAAATTCCAATTGGAGAACATTGCAACCAGGTACTCAAAAAGTTTCAGCTTTTTCAGGAAAAGGGAAGGCTGAAAGAAGATGAACAACTGTTGTCTCTGTACTCCAGACTTTGCACAAAACGAGAGTACGCTGACATGGCATTAGCCCTAATAATTGAACAAGGAGTATCATTTATGTACAACAAACAACTCAGCAAAAGCAAACTCTACTTCACTTCAGTCATAGAACTCGCAGAGCATTGCCAGCTAAGAAATCCGAACATTTTAATGGCGAGAGCCTATTTTTTACTTGCAGCCAACTGTAGTTGTAGGAAGCCCAGAAACTTTTCAACCTTTTTGGAATGTCTGAGACGAAGCGAGGCTTTACTACAAAATCACGATTCGCCCGAGGACTGGGCCGAAATGTACTACACTTTAGGCTTCATCTGGCTGAATTACATGAGCATGGTCCCGGATGACGACAGGAATGCTAAGGCGCGGAAGGAAATCCAAGAAAAAGCAAAAACTTACTATGAGTGGGCGATTGCAATCTGCTTAAAAGACCCACGCTCAAGGGTTCAACACAAAAGGCTGACATATTGCCACCTTAGTCTTGCAGCCCTCTTACTTGATTGTTCCTCAACTGTCGCCAGAACTCGAATAAAGGTAATTCCATCACAAGATATCAAGGACGCGAAAACACACCTTGATATTGTAGAATACAAACTTGGTGAAACCATTCCTCGAGGTACACGCGTGCAGATTCTAAAAAGGCGTTCAGACCAATACTATCGCCAAGGACCTGAAATGTATCAACTGGCAAAAGAAACTGCCCAGGATGCATTCCAAATGGCACGCAGCCATGGATTCAACACTGAGCTGGACTCGCTTCAAGAGCAAATCGATTTTCTCAACCAGTTGTGTGAAGACACAGTGTGTAGAGAAAGAATTACGCTGCTTGTTGATGGTGATAGTTCAACTTCTGGCAGTGACTCCAGATTTCAAGCAAGCTGCAGCGAAACTGATGAGAATCAGAACTTACCCACGAGCCATCAAAATCAATCCCAGTGAGGTCCCGAAAATGTGAACGTCCTACTAACCTGATATAAGATCACAGACACAAAATGTAACGATATTTTCCACTCTTCGGTAGTCCTTAATGAAACAATGATTCAGATACAGGAATATCATAAATAAGCATATGTATAGTAAGAACAATGAACTTCATTTCTGCGGTTATGTTGTTAATTTTGAAGTTCTGTGTTATCTTAGGAACAATGAAGTTCCAAAAGTAACAGGTCTCATAACAGTGTTTTGGCAGCTTTTCCTCGCTACTTGGGTTCCTTTACAGCTATTTTTAATGCACCCAGGAGTACAGTGAGTTCCGTACTACTTTATCTCTACTCAGTCCACCCTTCAAACGTGTCAATGACGGACAGCGGAATTCAAATTGGTTGGATAACTGAATTATGGAAAAAGGAATTTCCCTTTCAAGGTTTTCGAAACCTATGTACACTGGTTTGTTTTTTACAGTTATTTTACTTACAAATAGTACGCTGGACAAAACTGTTCTGGATCGACGTTTTACAACAAAAAATGAAAACAAGAAAAGCGATGCAAATAATTTTGTGATTGTCTGAAACCTAATTAAATTCCATACATGGGCAATCATTGTCATATAGATCACGCAAGGAAGGCTTGCGTTAAAGCGTATCTAAATTTGCGGACTGAATCACAAAAGCACGGAAAATTGCGCAATTTCTAAGATAGAAATAGTTATGGTTTACATCGACATCATAGTGTTAGACCAGCGTTGTTGTGCGAAGAACATCGTTGCGTGTTTGTGGATATTTTCATGAATTCGACGAGATGGCATGAGGAAGGAGCGATAATCCATTTAAACAGCGCTATAATCCTTTGATACATCAGAGGTTTAGAGAATCAAAGATTCACGTTGTGATGTTATTACTGAACGGCCACAATGCAAACCACACGAAGTTATTTCAATCTGTTATGCAAGAAAATCCGAGAAAATGGCAAGTTACTGGTAGATGGGCCCAGAAACAGGTGCGTAAACTTTACTAAAAGCACAAATAGCAATGCTTGATATTCTTGACTGACAACGCCTTAATACAGCAGTATGTTGTGCAATTGTGGCTTGTACGAAGCGCGATAAAAGGCAGCCGTCTTCAAAGCAGGATGTCTTCATTGGCCAAATAAGTTGCAAGCCTTTCTCATGCTTTCTTGTCAAAACTGTGACAAAAAAATCCACCGGCACGTAAAGAGTTTCTTCGCCAAACAACACACCAAATGTGACTCATTTTTCTCAGAAATCACGTAATTTTGAATACTTTGTGATTCAGGTGCCAAATTTGGACAAGGTGTAACCCAAGCCTTTCTTGCGTGACCCATATAAAGATAAGTTTCAATGTGTGGAATTTAGTAAAGTTTAAGACAATCAAAAATTATTTGTGTCACTATGTTTATTACAATTTTTTTGCTGTAAAACGTCGATCCAGAACAGTTTTGTTCAGCGTACTATGCATCACGAATATTCAATGCACGGGTATAGCTATATAGATATTCTGCTTCGCCGAGGGAAAAAGACATCGCTATTTCTCCTATTAACTCTGCTTCCAGCGGAAAAGAATTCTTAACACATGTTAGACAACTGAGTTCTGAAAGACTTTTTTGTCGACAAGGTAGATGCAGCAGCTTGATGTACAAGTATTTTAAACAATCCTTGAGGTCATTTCAAGACATATTTTAATAATATATTAAAATAAGCAGGCATCCGATGTTCTCGGAGACTAAAATATATCGGAAGTTCCATGGTATGTTGTTGATGACCAACCAGACTGATAATACCGATTAAAAGTGGTCATTACACACACCGTCTTTACCACTCATCAGGAAACACATTTCCCCGACGGCGCCGGCATTTTAAATTATCAGCTATCTACTATCGTAAGAACTTATCACACAGGGGAATTTTTGAAAAATTGAAAGTTTAATATAACTCACTTGTTTGGTGGGGCCAATAAAACAAGCCAAATTCAAGAAAGTAATTAATCTACAGACTTGTATATCAGTTAAGAAAAAAAGAAAAAAATTCCCTTCCGCGAAATGACAAAATAATTATGACTTATGGGTGGCCCGTCTACGCATGCAAATCACATGAGATCTTGCCTGTTTTATACTTTACACTCCAGCCATATTCATTTTTGTAGCGTTTAGTCACCGCATTTGGTTCCTCATTAAGAATAGAAAGCAAGGTAAGAGTCGACGTCTTCAGTCTCTGTAGGTCTTGTTGTAGGTGTAAGTATGCAAATGAAATAACAAAGACTATCGAAATGAGATCAATCTCTGCGTGCAAGGGATAATTATCTGTTTAGCAGTACTTTTAAGTGCATAATTATTTTCCCCTTTCCTCTAGGGCAAAAGTCCACGAACACTGCCTGTAACGTCAGGTTCACAGCGACTGTTGAAAGGCTGAATTGTCACTTGCTAGACAACTTGTCGCGATGAGACTAGCGTGTGTGGGAGATGCTTTACTAATCGAATAAAGCCAGAGATCACGGAAAATCAGCTGTGATTGACGGTGATTTAATTGACGATAATCGAACGNTTGCAGCTCTCTTACTTGATTGTTCCTCAACTGTCGCTAGAACTCGAATAAAGGTAATTCCATCACAAGATATCAAGGACGCAACAAAGCACCTTGATATTATAGAGCAACAACTTGGTGACATTCCTCCAGGTACACGCGTGCAAATTCTGAAAAAGCGTTCTGACTTATACTATCGTCAGGGACCGGAAATGTATCAAGTGGCAAGAGAAACTGCCATGGATGCATTGCAAATGGCACGCCGTCATGGATTCAACACCGAACTGGAATCGCTTCAGCAGCGAATCGATTTTCTCGATCAATTGTGCGAAGACACAGTGTGCAAAGAGAGAATTATGCTGCTTGTTGATGGGGATACCTCAAAATCTGGCAGTGATTCCAGATATGAAGCAAGCTGCAGCGAAACTGACGAGAATCCGCCAGAAAACGGTTGATTCGAGTGGTGATCCGCCCATTGTAGCTTTGGATCGAAACCACCGAAAATATAACCCTCCTAGCAACGCTAGTGTAAAATCATAGACACAAAATGTAACGACATTGTTCGTTCAGATACTGGGATACTATAAATAGGCGTATGTATAAGACAACAATCAGTGCAAGGGTTTTCAATTTTGCGGTTCTGTTGTTAATTGTGAAGTTCTGTATTATCTAATGAAAAATTAAGTTCCGAACAGAATCAAGTCAAGTTTTTATTTGGATTTAGCAGCTTTTCCTCGGTGTTTGCTACTACTTGCCTACCTTTACGGTTATTTGTAACATAGTAAGTTCATTTCCACTTTAATTCTAATCAGTCCAGACATCAAAATAAACGCGCGTCAATGAACTTCCGCTGAACATGATTGAAGGCGAGCAGAGTCCTCTTATTTCACCACATTTCCAGCTATTAAAATTCAGAACTTGTCAAATCAGTCAGCGTGATCAAACTAAGCATCATGCGATCAAGTTGTGCGTCTGACGAAAACGAAAGTCGCCTACAACAATGACTGTGGGCATATCACTGGCGCTTCTTGCTTCTCCAGCATCTTTGGAAAAGTCGCCCCATTTCCAGTGAACCTCACTAGAGGTCAGTATGGGGAACTCGCTTCATGCTACGGCTAAACGGTGGAGTTAAGCGCCAACACTGCTGAGTTTTCTGGAACAGAATTTACTCTATCAAATCCGTCCACAACCGTCAACATTCATGTCTCAGATTTTGGATTTTTGAAAATTTTGGGTGTATACCTCAATACTGCATAACAAGGCTGTAAACATGACGATATTAAAGTATAATGCAAATAAGCCGTCAACTAAACATGACCACATCTACTTTTTATCAGTATCACTGAAGGAAAGCGGAAGTGGATAGAAAAGTGAAACTGAAAAGACGCCAAGTTGGCGCGCTTTTAAGAAAGGGACTTACCCTGTTAAACTTTCGAAAGATCAATTTGTATACACGCACACATGGAACACGAATATTTTATATCCTCAGATTGTAATTTCTCACTAAGAAATTTCGAAGTTTTGCGTCACTGAGGAAGGAAGATATTGCTGTTTTACAACGTGCTCTGCAGACAGCGAAGAATGTTTCGAACTCTTGCTTTAAGAGTGCTGAAAAGTTTTCTCCGACAAAATACATGCCAAAAATACTCTGGCATAAATTCAATTACATAGACGTCTAAAATAGAAAAAAAACAACAACAACACTGACTGAATCACGACGCAGGGGCGACCACGCAAACATAATGGTGGCATTATCTTCGCATGAACAACGATGACGAACCTTTACAAACAGAGAGCAACGGAGTTTTCCTCGGTCCACAGCACAGAGGTACCGTTACAGCAACCTATGCCTGGCGGACATCGCTTTTCTGGTGATCTCGAAAACACATCGCGGCGGCTTGCTCCAGACGATTCAAATCCGTTTACCGCGGAAGCAAACTTTGACACACCAAAGAAGACGTTGAACGTAATTGTCAAGAACTGGAATGCCGTTTTAGTTGGCCAGTCAAACACCGCACAACTTGACTGTAATTATCATCTGGACAATAAGCACAATCCTGGGCGCAAACATTCCTGGCAAGAAGAACCTCTTCCCGACAGCGGTCCAAAGGTCGAAGAAGATTCGAGTAAACAACAGAAAGC